CGTACCCCCTCAGGGGGCCAACGAGAATACACAATACACGTGAGTGTACCACCCCATCTTGCCTGTGTCTCCCAAACACTAACCACGCTGTGTCAAAAAATAAGACATACTACTGCTTAATGTTGGATTAATGGACTTGTCCCTGTTTAGATTTATCCCTTTAAAATAGGTTTTAAATCTTAAGTCAATGTAATGTCTTGGTTTTCAGACTAGAAACGTTCTATCTTCGGAACAGGATCCTTTGACATCTGCCCATTGATCAATCAAGAGTTTGAGCCGATGGCAGTACATACAGAGATTTGAGCACTAGTTAGGTTACAATTGTTAGAAGCGCAAGAACTAATCACTTTTGGCCTACAAAACCTCAACAAAGATGTCAGTTGGCCAAGAAGACACAACAAACGAGGTTTTCCAATTTGGTCGAGCGTCGATCCCACCTGACCAGCAAAGCTCAAAGTGTCCACACATCTCTGCCACTCAATCACGCTTAGTCGTCTATCTGATATTGGGCAATCTACGAATGGCATGGTGTCMGACTTTATTTTCAGTATTCGTATAGACATTAAAAACATCTTTCACACATCCACGTTAATGTATATTTTGAAGAACATGTGCAGCACTCATTTGCCCAGTACAAGGATTCTCTGTACCAACGACCTTGAGACAAAGCCAACAGAAAGCTGAGATAGATAGGTTGGATTTCCCTTAGTGTAATTCCATATCCTAAAATGCCACCTGAAATAACTTGAAGTTTAAATTGCAGGTGCACTGTTTAGATTTAGGAGTTTACTTATTGTCTAGAGTCTTATGCACATAAAACAGAATAAAATCATCATTGACTTTCAAACGCTCTACCCATGCCACATCTCTTTGCATACTCATTACTAGCTCGAAAATGCTTGGCTCCGGTTAGAGATACCCGAGATTATTTTAATTTTTAGGTTTGATTAAAAGAACAGATCTGTGAAGTAATTAGGTTATTAAATTAGCAGGGCTTGTGGGTCTATAACGATAAGGTGGACATCAAAGTAATATACTRATGAGAATTGCTTCATTCTATTATTTGGCAAGTCTTGGTTCCTCACTTGATCAAACTTTCTTCCTCGACAATCACACTATAACCCCGAGTCAGTAAGCAAAATATAGACACAATCCACTACTTTATAATCCTCTCATTGAGTATTTCATGACGGTATTGTTCTACATGCTTTCACAATACTTCCTTGTCAACGTAGAAGGAAAAAAACGTCACACAGCTCGCTCGGCCAAGCAAACATCAAAATGTCATTTAAAATTACTTAATAATTAGTTTTTCAGTCAAAGTACAATGAAAAGTCTAAATCTCATGAGTTTGCTTTAATAAAATTGAAAGTTTTGTACAGCGTTTAGTATAATAGCTTCTTCTATGAATACTATTAATGCTAATGAATGGCTAACAAGGCCCGTCACAGACCAATCTGCCCTCTTGAGCAGTTCATGGTTACCAGACAAGATCATCGATGAATCCTACCTGCAAACGGCCTCGGAGAGCTCCTGAAAGTTTTGATTTTCTAATGAAACACAAACCAARAATGTCTGCATGATCAGAGTATTGATGAATAAAGTACAATGAGAAATCAATGGAAAAACTCAAATACCTGGAGATCAAATCAAAAACATCTTTGTTTTCCTGTGCAGTATTTGAAGAACCTCGAAAGTGATGTTAAGAGGATTAGCAAAAAATATATATAATTTTTGACAAGAAACTAAAAGATTTTGAATCCGCTCGATTGTCTTTGCCAGGAGTTCAATGAAAACCCTTTTTATTTACTAATCTATGGAGCTTGAAGCTTTTTCTTCTTCAAAGGAATTGTTTCTGCCAGAATGGGTAATTTCGCTGGAGCCACCCAGATGGGAAAATCTCAAAACGGCCTTTAAAAAGTCCTGAGCGTCGAAAAAATACTATTTTTAACACCAGACTGACGTTTATAATTTGAACTTTTCTAGGAATACAATGAGTGCTACTAAAAATGGTGCGGCGTTGAAACAGTGGACGCAAAAGGAAACCTTGACTGTGATTTGTATATTCCCTTACAATAGCCATATGCCTCCTGCGAGCGTAATGCAAGATGGAGCAATCAGCCTAAATTGGCTCTAAGCGCGTCCGAAATGTCATAATCCCACGTGTGCTCATTTTGATTGCGTTTGGCACTGACACTAGTAATTATTTTCATCAAAGAGGTATTTATTCACCACTCGATCGGCCCTTGTGTTCCACACTTAGGAGTGGCTTTGGAAATAATGGCTAAGAACAAAGAGCATTTCGGGCTTCCCAATAACTTTATGGTGATTATGCAAAAACGTTTTCGGGCACATGTGGTTGATAGTGCTAATGTTTATCATCTTTGCATCCGAACACACATCCTAGCTTCATTCCCTGCTCTTCTACCCCAAGAACCCTAGCCTTCTTGACCAGAGGGTAGTCGTTCCACATGCCAGGGTCCACACCCAAATGTTGGTTTTCATCTCATCTCATATCTACTGAGTAGAAGATATCATTTCATCTAGCAAATGATTGTTTATTGTTATTCATGTGTAATTAGGCTATGCAGATGTGGTCGATTGAACGAAAAGCTACGTGGTTTGGTATCAGTCACCGAGTCCTCGTGCATAACGTCGATATCCACTTTCTCTTGTCCCAAACTCAGACGCAAAAGTGCTCTTTCATATCTCACGTGGCTTTTAGTAAATTGTCATCARTTTAACTCCGCGTTGGCGCCAGTGAAGTTCCTCTTCGTCCCTTTAAAAAACCCTCTTCAATCAAGACCACTCGCGTCACTTGTTTGGCCAAGCTCCAGAGGCGCTCTCTTGGCATCTCCCTGGGAATGGATTGTGAGCTTTGTCGTAAGACTATAGAATCCCGCAGTCTTTCACAGTCTGTCATGTCAAATCACACCTATACATCAAGTATTTATCAACTATAAACATATCTATGGACAAGAGGAGGGGGAAAAATGAAATGAAATAACCAGCGTTTTTGATTCTTTTCGTGTTGCATGACAGAGACTAGATGAATGAGAAGCTCGATCTTGGAATAAAACAAAAATAGGCGTTATAACTTCATCAGTATCTATGTGGGCCTGGTGGTTGACAGGCTGGGCGGAGCGCGGGTACTCTGGGCAGACAACGTATTTTACAAAACAGTAGCATTGTTCATTTTACTCCTAATCGTGTGCGCTGTCTACAATGATTACTATTTCATTCAAAGCTAAGCCGAAGACGATCATGACCTGCGCATGCGCATTGGTTTATTCTCCCTAAAGCTCCTCTCAACAGCCAATATACAAACCACAAAGAAATAAAAACTCCAATAAGAAAAAGAATAAAAATTCCTCTCTATTTCTCATATCACACGACTAAAAAAATCTACAAAATATCCTGAATTTCCACAAAAATTTGAATTTTTTTTATCGTCGACAACGAACCACCTTCTCTTAATTTGTTATAACCTTCTCATAAAATTAAAGTTATTTTTAGCAAAAGTCATTCCAGAGAAAAATTAGAGTGTATCTTTTATCATTCCATCATCTCTGGTTAGTATAATTCAGCTAATTCGAATATATTTTGGGGCTAAATACGATAGGCCTGATTAGAATCTTCAAGAATCAATGAATCAGTAATTTAGACTCGGAGTTCTCCACATTTGCTTGAGTATTGATGAAGTCTTATTTACTTTGTTAGAGTTATTATTCACGCATAATGTGTTGATATTAGCATGGTCTAGGTGGCTGACGGCATTGTTTGGGAAACCTTTAAAAGACAGATGGGTTGATCTCTGCTATCATACAGTCACAACTTATTTAGCAGGCACTGGTTCTTGACTTGACGCCTTAGTACTCCACACCACACTTGCAGGAGATTTGAGGTAAGTTAGAATACATATTTTTTATCCTTTAAAAAAATCTCTTTTACTTGTAATCTGGCTTTTTTTTTTTTCATCCATTAATAGTGTTATAATTTTTTTTTCAATATTCAAAGAAATTTACGTGTCGGTCGACGCAGCTATAGCAATTGCAAAAAATCTGTTCATGTATTTTACACGCTAGGAAATAAGTATTCTTATATCGTTTTTTATAACTTGGGGTTCGAATGAACTTAAATTGACGAAGGTTTATTACTTGATGTTTGAAATTTTCATGATAATTTGATCAAATACTTTTGACACATCTAGAAACAGTACCTGATTGATCTGGAGTAAATCATACTAAATCAAAGCTAGTTAGTCGTTCTTTTTCCTCTGTGGTTTTACCAAAAACCAACACACTTGCGTATTCAAATATATCCTTACCGATAAATGAACAGGCAGTGAAATTGTCGTTTATCCATGATAAGAAAAGATTTGAAACAAAAACTCTTCTGCTTTTTTTTCCTTTCATTTTTTAGCAGTTTTTCTTAGCGTGTGACGACTTTTCTTCATTATTTTCAAACAAACAAACTCAGCTACTGCTCTTTTTAAAATAGTGATTATAAAAAGTAAGATCCTTTTTGTCATTTGCTAGCTTGTCGTTATTTCTTTTGAGTAAGTAATTTTGATAATTCTAAAAAAAATTTCACAAAAGTAAAAAGTCAAGTTTACTCTATTCATGGTTTACAAAAGCGGTAAATATTTTTGCGACATCTTTTATTTAACAAATTAATTCTTGCGAAGAGCCTGTAAGATTTACCGTGCGAGTGTAAATGGACCTAGTAACTCAAAACTCTGACTAGTTGGTCAAATCAAATCAAATGGATCTTTCATTCATTTGCCATATGAACATATTGAGAAGTCAATGTCCGTCATGCTTCAGATTATTATCGGTCAATCAAAAACAGTTCACGTAGCTGATTATATCTGTGAAAGAAAAAGAGGAAAATTAACAAAAATGAAATTCTGATGCAGATTCGATCTTATCCGATTATCATTGATCTTTTTTGTCTTTTTCTTTTCTAGAATTAACACGTGTTTTCAAGATTTCCAAAGTATGAATAACCAAGTTCTTTGCCCTCGTAGTATCGAGGAAGACAATTTTGCTAAAATGTACGCAGAACAAGCTACAACTTTCCCGTGGTCTTTATTTCAAAATACGCCATCTCAAAAGGACGAAGAAAACCACAAAACCTCCAAGCGTTCTAGAACAAGTGTTCCCCAGACAGTGAGAAGACATCGCCAGCTTCGTAGGAATGCAAGAGAACGAGAAAGACAAGGAAGATTAAACAGCGCGTTTGACGTCCTACGAGGTGTGATTCCTGACTATTTATCGGGAAAAGGCCCAGAAAGAAAACTTACTCAAATTGAAACTTTAAGACTTGCGACTCATTACATCATGGCTTTATCAGAAATGCTCGAAGAAGAAAATCAAAAGCCAGCGGCCGAGTATTGTGAATGTGGACTTGCTTTCTCCTCGACCCGGACTATAGGCCAAGAAAACTAACCTTGAACAATTATCTCAAAGAATGAATATATATATACAAACAAGTCATACTTGAACACAGACGGGGCATATTACCCAAGAATGGACTTGATATCACAAATGTAATTAAGCACAAAGAAATACTCACTGTCTAACCATTAGCTTTCCTCATGTCACCAAAAACAAATATTCATTTTATTAAAACCTCATTTTTTTAAAAAAAGAACCTTACGAGTTAGTGTTGAAATACTGTTTGCTTATTACGCGACGGTGCGAGACTTTACTTAACAAAAGAGTAGCTCTCTTTAAATTTGTCAGGTTTCATCAACTAAAACAATGACTGTATTTGCTATCGAGAATAAGCTATACTTGACTAGGATAAACCCCGAGTTAATTTCACAACACATTACTTTGATTTTACAGATTCAATTATAAAAGTGATTATGACTTCGTTAGGTAAGCTAGTGAAGATGRCCCAAATTGATTCTCTTCTTGTTGAGATGGAAAACTTGGACGTTTTTCATTGAAGATCAAGAGACAAGTAATAGTTTATATAAGAAGTGTGCCCTTGATAGTAAACAATGCAGCTGATTGTGGACAGGTGCCCTCTATCTAGGTTTCGGACTACGAGATCCAGCCAAACAGTAGGCTGACAGTTTAGATGAATGAGGCACGCTTACCCAAGCATTAACGCTTTACACGGTGAAACAATCCACTGTGTACCTGTCTTTATTTTTTAGATTATCCTCTTTTTAGGCGATTTTCTCTTTTGTGGACGGCCTGAAAGGATATCAAATAGATCAAAGACACTGAAACAGTTTAGCAGGTGGTAGCTCACTCGAAATGTTACAACTAAACTATTATTCAGTGCAATTCAAAAACATTCCAATCTTAATGCATTTTTACGACTGAAAAAAACGGAAATGATGACGAAATTATCCTCGATTTTGGTTTTGGTAACAAAGACATTTGAAGCATTGAGAACGGCGTGTTTACACACAAAAATCATTCCAGGTGCTATGACCGGATCTGAAAATTATGCCAACACGCGGGAATTTCTCGGAATTTCTCTAATGGTCTCGAGTTAGGAAAATACCACAAGACTTATTTTTACGAGGAATTAACATCTAAAACGGCAATTAATTGACTTTTTAATTTTTTTTTATTTTGTGGTTTTTGACATCCTTTACTCAAAATCCTCGCTTTTTATGCTTCATCACCGACGTATCATTTAAAACTAGTTTGTCGCTACTTTCAATTCTTTTGTACTACAAATTCTCTACTCACTTTTTTGATATTGATAGTATACACAAGAATTATAGAACTTCACAAAAAGCAACGATATAATAAGAACGATATATACACATATATAAACAATGGGATATAACTGCATGTGATTCTTACACTCGCTCGGCTGTGGTTTTGAAGATGAAGGAAAAAATGTCTTTGTATATGAATAATTATTTGGCGATCGTCAACAAAAGTCAAGTGTTATRAAAACTTGTCTCAAGAAATATAAGTGCTCACAAAAGAAGCGTACGCTGAAAACTCATGCTTTTGGATTATTGTATACTCTCGCTTGTTTAACAATGTCCCATATATTTTTTTATAATTTGTGATRTTCTTCGTAGTATTTTCAAACAAACACGATAATTCAGGAAAACAATGGAATAAATTTTACCAAGAAGCTAACAACTCTCAACACAAACTTTTTATTTATTTGTTATCACTGTGACCTGATATTGTCTTTTTTATTCATTTTGCTTCAGTTGTGTGGCCCATAGGAGCCTGGCAGCGAAAACTTAGYAGGAAACTGCAGAGCAGAAGTTTCTTCACAAACATTTTTGTTCCTGATTTTGTCGAGCATGATTCAGAAAAAAACTCTTTGCCGACTATTTTATTTATTGTTTTTATACTATTTACTTTATTTTTATTTTATCTTGCCTTACTTTACATTGTTTCGAAATACACGCTTTCAAGTGTCTAAAATTTATACAAAAAGAATGTATGGTTATATTAGGACAAGTGTAAGTCCCTTCTATCAAAACACACGTTCTTTGAATYTTTTTGACAATTTTGAAAGCCTTTAGTTCTTAATTTCTTTCCCATTGAAAAATGTTCAAACTTACCACTTACTAATTTTGTGTTGCTTTCTCAAATGCCAATATCGCTTTAACAATTGTATAGATAAAAATTCAAAACTCGCCCAAGTCTTTTGCTCGTTTATAAAAAAAAGGCTTTAATTGTAGTCTTCAGAAGCGTTAATGTCGCCATGCATCATGGGACTATAGGAATAGTGCATCTCGCATGTCCATGTAGCGGCGCATAATATACATAGACATTACTGCATGTTAAGAGCCTGACAAACTTTGTATTGACACTTCATCTTCTTACTCCCATTGCGGTGCTCTTTCTATTTTGACGTGACCTKACCATAGTGCAAATGACCCATATTTTGGATCGTAAACTACTGAAAAGCACGAGCGRTACAGAGCAGTTATCGAATGAATGTGCAGTGCGCGTGCTGTGCCGTGCCCGTGATGGTTTCTAGAATTTTACTTGGCTGTTTTTTTTCTCGTGCAATGTGATTGGTATGACAGTGCCGTGACCGTGTACGCCATGTTTATGTCATGTCGGGCATTTGATTGGATAAAGAGTAAATTGTCGTACACCGTGATTGGACTGTCGTACCGTGAGCTTTTCACAATCATACACAAACTGATCTATCCGCCATTGAAGTAACGTTGCAGAAACGTTAAATTACTGAATTGCAATGCACGAGAAGGCTGTTTTTGCTTGAGTTATGAAGGTTTATTTTCATTGTGCATTATATTTTGCTTACATGGTTCACTGTTCTTAGCCGTGTACAATATTTGATGGAATATTCTATTCTTTATCATTTTATCTTATAAAATTACATCTTATGTCAGTAAATTGGTTACTTGTTGTACTGTTCGCGCTACGATGGTCGTAGGATCAGTGTAGTTGTTTATTGGATCTGTTATCATATTATACAGTTGCTTGTAGGCATCACACACGGCATCTACAGCTCGTTTGTGTATAGTGTCCCTGAATGAAGATCATAAAATTACTTATTTTGATAACTTGATTGAAAAACGATGAACAAATTAGGAGAAACGAAAAGAAACAGAGGGCAGGGCCGGGGAGTGAAGGGGAGGGATGGGCAAGGCAAGGCAAGGCGAGGCGAGGCGAGTGGAATGGAGGGCAGTTGCAGGGCTGGGCAAGGCAGGTCAGGGCAAGGAAGAGCAGGGCAAGGAAGGGCAAGGTAGAGCAGAGCAGGGCAGAGGAAAACAGGGCAGGGCAGGGCAGGGCAAAGTAGGGCAGGGAAGAGCAGGGCAGGGTAGGGCAAGGCAAAGCAAGGCAGGTCAGGGTAGGATAAGGAAAGTCAGGTTAGGTCAGTGTAGGGCAAAACAGAGCAGATCAACTAGAAGGAATGAACAGAAAGTCTTCTTCATGCTACCTTAATCTGGTGGTACGCAGAAGCTCACACTGAGGCATGCGCAGACTATCGGGTGATGATAGGTACTTGTCAAACTTTGCCTAGTCAAAACAGAATGCAAAGTAAATAATAAAGAAGACAAAAACGACAGGATTTTGCGAAAATAATGTTAAAAGGCAAGATCACRAAGAACACAATTTTACTCCATAAAATCAAAGGTGAAAAAATTATTGATTACCATGGCGGCTTTCGCAGTCTGCGGATCCAAACCATGGACAGAAGACAAAGGCACCTAGCAACRACAAAACAGTGACTCTGAGTTTGTCAATATGATGTGTCAGATCAACAGTTAAGGTCTTGAAATAACTGAGGAGAAGGTGCTGYCTTTGCAATTGCATGTCCTTTTTGAATAGGGCAGTTGATAGGTTCCTGGCCGAAACAACGCTCAAGGTCTTAAAATAACTAATGAAAAAGGGCTCCATTGAGAAACTGCAATCGATTCTTGATTTTTTTCAAGGATGTCTAAACTTTCCCTCGCCAATTATTGTTCAATTTAAATTCAAAAGAAGTCATTTCCATATTTTGCAAGTACCTTTTGATTCTTGTTTTCTTGATATACGGTGTATACATTCCCAAGTCCGCTGCGTGACAAGATGAACGAGGCCTGCTCACTGATAAGCGTATCAATGTGTGCATCCATCTACGTAATGATAATCTAATGAGTTATACATAACCTTCGACCACAGGCATTAGTCTGGCTCTCAATGCATACGCTGATGAACTGACTAGCAAAAAAATGCTTGGCATCTTTATCACTTGACCTGGCATGGCGCTTCTCGAGTTAAGGGCCTTGGGGCACGTTCTGACTGCGATTGAATATTTTTTGGTCCCACTCTTTGATTATTTAATAAAATATATATACCCGTGTATTCGTGTGAGCATGTATCCTTGAACTAAGAGTGAGGCCCAACAAACTCTGTCTACAAATAGCCTGCATAGCGGCACTTTGGGGGCTTTGTGGAGAAGAAATGGAAGGAATAAGGGGAGAAGAAATGGAAGGAAAAAGGGGAGGAAAAGGGGAGGAAAGGGGATGAAAAGGGAGGAAAAAGAGAGGAAAGGGGAGGAAAGGGGAGGAAAAGGGGAGGAAAAGGGGAGGAAAAGGGGAGGGGGACTGAAATCAAACCCAAGACCACAGACGTGAGGCGAGTGAACTACCGCTACTTAAACAGCTCCTGTTCAGATAATAAAAGTATTCTTACCTGAGCAGCAAGCATTTCCAGGTGCTTGTCGGTGAATTCATAGACCGCAAGAGCTGAATGTATTTGATGAATGCAGTTGATCATGTAGGCAGCCATRTCTGCAGCATTGAGGTGACTGGCAGACATGACACTCATCTGTAAGGCTGGATCCACTAAACATGATATGATCTGAATATCAAATATAACAATATCATTTTAGAGTCATGTCTGAAGATCTGCAAAAGTATCGCGCACTCTTGACATCAAATCGAATAGAGGTTTTGCAGCAGCCATGTTAGATGACAGGAACGATAAAATCGTTTTACATAAGAAAGAATTCAATAGGGATTTTTGTTTTGTCATCTAACCACAGCCAGTCAAAGCTGTACCATAAATCAGGATCAGTCTGTTATTGATGAGAGGTGCTGCATTACCACTTCACACAAGCATCCTTATATATGATTTGAATTATTAGGGAAGCACGGGTGGCTGCTAATGTGCCGCCTCTCACCAATGTGACCCAGTACGTTGAGTATGTAAGTAGAGTTGTTTGTTGGTTCTCTCATGCGCTTCTAGGGTTTTTCCTCTCACCAATGAGACACCGTACACGTCGTATGTAAGTAGAGTTGTTCGTTGGTTCTCTCATGCKCTTCGAGGGTTTTTCCTCCGGGTTCTCCGGTTTTTCCTCCCTCCACAGAAATCAACTTCTAAATTCTAATTTGACCTATAGGCTGCCTTTATTTATCAACTGGATTGCAAAACCTTCACCCAGGAGTAGTAAATGCATTAGAACATCAAACATTACAATACTCTGTTTAGTGTCACATCTGTTGCTGAAGTATTGCCCCCCTACCAAAGCAGAAATYATAATGAACTTTGAAAAACTAAGGGCTGAAATAAATAAAAAATACAGCAAACTATGAAAATAATATTGAAGTAATTACCCTGCCATAGTCTGTTTGCCTAGCATCTAAAGGGATGACAGATGCATCRTGGGATGTCAAGACAGCTTGTAACAAGCCAAGTGTTTCTTTCAATGATTCAGTTGGGCCAAGATCAGGGGGAGGTAACTCAACCTAAAAAAAGATTTATTTACAATACAGAATCAATATAAAGACTGTGCCTCCCCTTTCATTAAAATCTTTTGCTTCCCTCTCTTTTGAATGAATTTATCTATACCAAAAGGAGATAATAYTACTGATGATAATGTTGATGATGATGTTGCTTGGGTTAATTATTACAGGTGCTGATAATGGTGCTGTGATGATA